CTGTCCGCGTGTGTGCGGCGTGGGCGCGCGCAGCCTCGAGGGCTAACCCTCTGCCTCTGCCACCTCCTTCCAGAACCCCACGGGCCTTGGCTGCCTCGCTCCTCTTCCGACCCCGAGCTCCCCGCCCAGGTGTGTGCGTGCGCATGGAGGAGCGCGCCCCGGGTCTACCGCACCCCTTCTTCCCACTCCATCCACCCTAGGCTGCTTCCGCCCCCTCCTCCGGGTCCCCATGGGGACGTGAGGGAGAGGTTTGTTTCACTCCTGCCGCTCTTCAGAGGCAGCACAAGAGAAAGGGACTGAAGGCAACCATAAAGCAGTTTACTTTCAGCCTTTATTACTATAGCTTAAACGAAGTTTATATACAAGGAACATCACCGGCAATAACCTCGCCGAAGGGTGAAGACCTAGGCCCTCCATCTCGACCCCGCAGCCGGCCGCTCGGCCCCAGTCCAGCCTTGGGGTCTCAGGCCCCTCCCATCGCCCTTCTCGGACTCCGGAAGGGGGAGGGGGCGGGGAAGGAGGAGTCGGGGGAGCTGCAGCCGGCCAAGGCTAGTCCAGCCTTGGGGTCTCAGGCCCCTCCCATCGCCCTTCTCGGACTCCGGAAGGGGGAGGGGGCGGGGAAGGAGGAGTCGGGGGAGCTGCAGCGCCGGCCAAGGCCTCCCAAACCCATCTCTGGTCCGGAAGCGGTCCCTCCCCCTCCCTCCCCGAGGCCGGTGGTCTTCTCTCCTAAGCCCAGAGCACTCTTCCCCTCTCGCTTTCGGAACCAATTCGAGCCCGCCTGCAATTTCGGAACCTGCTCGTGGTCAGGACCAGTTAGAGACAGTTCGTCATCAGCAGAGGGGCTCGTGCGCGCCCAAAACGAGGGGGAAGATGACCCTGCCCACCCTCCCCTCCCAATTCCTCCCCTCAGCTCAGAGATGAGAAATAAACACAAAGGCAGCAGGACTCCCTGCGCGCGACAGGTGGGTGCCAAGCAACTAAGGCAGCCTGGAGCTGCTGGAACCCAGCTGCGCTCCCAGCGCTCGGGCGTGGCCAAGGTGTCTGCTGCGAGATGCGCGCCGCGCTTGGCTAGCTGGTGGCGCGCCGGGGTGCAGGTGTGCAAAGGCATAGGTGCGCGCATGCTGCCTCAGTGCCCCCAGGGGGATTTCCGGCCAGCTGAGCAGGTACAAGTGAGAGGATGGGAGTCCCACGGAGCTGGTCTTCAGTGACCGAATGCCAGACCCAGCCAGAGGGTCACGGCTCAGTGCATCTGTGTCCCTGGGCCTCACCAAGCCCGGCTTCGCTGGTGGCCACTGCACATGGGCTTAAAAAGCCCATAGGCCCAGCCCGCCAAGTTCAGGCACTGGTCCACCGGTCGTTTACAACTGGCCGGGCCGAGGGCCATGCAGCTGCTCGTGGTAGCGCTCCAGCCAGGTGCGAAGCTCTGAGACCTGGTAGCCATCAGGGCCACGGCCGCCCTGGTACATGATGGTGCCGCTCTGGATGACATAGAGGCGCTCGAAGTAGGCGCCGTAGGCCGAGCTGCTGGAGTTGGCCATGGTGTCCAGGACCAGCGCGCAGCCAGGCGCGCCTCGCTGCAGCACCCGAGCAGCGCTGACCCGGTCCTCCAGGCTCCGGTGCCGCGGGATGATGTAGGGGGAGTCTGTGGTGACCCAGCCGTCGGAGGGGTGGGCCTCCTCGATGTAGATGATGAGGAAGTCCACGTCGCGCCGGTACTTGGTGACCAGGCGCTGGAAGGCGCTCATGCGCGCCATGAACGGTGGTCAGGTGCAGCTGCCGAAATTGAGCACCAGCGGGCGGTTCCCGTGCTCGTAGTCCAGAATGTGCTGGCTCTGGAAGCCATCGGGCAGGACCACCTCGGAGTTGGGCGCAGGCCCGCCCTCGTGTGCCTGCTTAAAGAAATCCAACTTCTGGCCGTGCCATACGGCCTTGAGCGACGCCAGGGTGCACAGGCGGTTGTCGTCGGACACGCAGATAGGCGGGTCGTCGGGGGGCACCTCCTCGCCTTCACTGTTGAGCTCCACTTCGGGCTCGGGCTGCCCCAGGCCGCGGCGGCGCAGGAAATGCTTGCGGATGCACAGGAAGTCGAGCAGCCAGAGCATGAAGGCCGTCCCGATGAAGCGCGGGAAGAGCACGAGGCACGAGGCGGTCTGGGCGCACAGCCTCAGGGAGTGAAGCAGCAGGGAGCGGAGCATGGTAACCGCGGGCCCCGAGGCCCCCTGGGACCCCCCGCCCTCTCCGACCACCAACCGAGAGGCGGCCTGGTGAGGCATCTGGGCTTCGGCGTGCAGGGAGCTCAATTTATAGCCAAGGCTTCAATTGGCGGGAGACTCCACCTCCGGCCGGGGCCCGCCCACTTGCAATTTGAACCCTGAGGGATCTCTCGGCGGTGTGGCCAATGCCCTGGA